TGGCACTCCCCTCCCAGTCTCCTGACCGTCCCTCCTGTCCCCTCCACCCCTCTCTAGGGCAAACCTGGTGGACCTGCAGAAAAAACTCGAGGAACTAGAGCTGGACGAGCAGCAGAAGAAGCGCCTGGAAGCTTTCCTCACGCAGAAAGCCAAAGTCGGGGAGCTGAAAGATGACGACTTTGAGAGGATCTCCGAACTGGGGGCTGGCAACGGCGGTGTGGTCACCAAAGTGCAGCACAAACCCTCCGGGCTCATTATGGCACGGAAGGTAACTGGGGGGGTTACTGGAGTGGGCTGTGGTACCGTGCTGGAGCAGCTGGCACTCGCCCTGGCTGTTTATTCTTTTTCTGGTGAAACTGTTCTGAATGAACTTGGCTAATCTGGATAAAAACAGAGGATCCTCTTGAAGATCCTTGGTCGTGGCTAGCGAGGACTGGCAATGGCAGGCGGAGGGATGGGTTTGGTGCACGCACGTTCCTCACCGCTCACTTCACAGATCCCTGATGTTGTTCCAAGCAGCCCTGACAGTGGTTCCTCTCAGACGTGGGTTTTTGGGTGACTTCTTTTACCGTAGCGTCCTGTAATACAAAACTAGGAGCTGCTTCATCTGCCTTTTCGAAAAGACAGCGCTCGGCGAGAGCAGCGCGACCACACCGGGTGGGACGGCTTCGTTGAAAGTCTCTTGTCTCCCCTGCGGTTGGGATGGTTTAGTGGGTCTCGAGCAAATCTGCTTCTTTGAGCCTTCCAGGGCGTTTGATTTGGGAGCGGTGGGTGTCACTGGGTTGTTTGGAGATTGTTGGGAGCTCCGTGTTCAGAAACCGAAGTGAAGGCAGGCTGCAGCAGGGCTGTCCTTGCAGAGACCGCCCTTTGAAGGACAGACATCCCTGGGGCTGGGTCCCCTCGAGCTTACAGCAACAGTGGCTCTTTTTCTGACCTGCCGTTGTCTTTTCTAGCCTGTGGCTTCCCTACCCCCAGCTGCATCGACTGACTCTCCGTGGAGCCCAAGGACTAAAGCAGCAGCTCTTTCACGTGCATAATCTTCATGGGTTTTGTTACTTTCTGTGATTTCCTTGATATCAGAGCACCTCTTCTTCCACCACCTACAGAACTTGTGAAAATGTTCCTGTCTGCTGAGTCAGATCTGCATCAAACTTCTGACTTGTCTTTCCTGTGCCATCTCCACGTGTCGCACCGCTTGCAGTTGCTTCATTTGCTGACGGGCTGCACAGGGCTCTGCCTCTCCCTTCATCCTTCGTGTTAGTCTGCAAACGGGAAAAAGTCGATGCCAAAGCAGAGCTTCCCTTTAAGATGTTTTCTTGATTCTTCCCAACACTCAGGACTTGCTCACATCATTCCTGTGAGTTTTTTCCAGGTATTACACCTTGAATATTTTTTTTTTTTCTTGGCAGCTGATTCATTTAGAAATCAAACCGGCCATCAGGAATCAGATTATCCGAGAGCTGCAGGTGCTGCATGAGTGTAATTCCCCGTATATCGTGGGTTTCTATGGAGCCTTCTACAGCGACGGAGAGATTTCCATCTGCATGGAGCACATGGTGAGTCCCCTGTTCCTCCTCTGCAAACTGCTGCTCCCGGGACTGTCCGAAATCCCATCTCCCTGAGGCTGGAAATCGCAGGTGAGGTGGGTTGGGGTGCTGGCAGCTTCCACAGCTCCTTGCTCTGGCCGCTGTGCTCCTGGTAGGAGCTGCACGTTCCTGCTTAGGCATCGAAACGACAGACAAATCGACTTTTTGGAAAGCGGAAGCAGAGGTTTGGGGGTTGGCCAAACGGAAATGTTGTAAACCCGCCGCTCTGCAGAGCTTGCCGTGGAGCACGATGCGCGTTTTCTGTTGCCTCCGGCGGAGGATAGTGTTGTCGCTCCTCCGGATTGGCGCCGACAGCATCATCTTTGTGTTTACCACTGATGGAGGGGAGGCTAAGAACGAATATCAACAAGCAGAGCTGATAGAAGATAGCATTAAAATAGTTTTCAGCGAGAAGCTTGAGCTCTGATCACCAGATATGTCTTTTTTTTTTCTTCTTTCTGTGAAATGAGCGTGCTCGGTGCCGCCTTGTTGCAGCCAGCTGAGCTGGGATGCTACGTGCTGCTGATACACCGCTTGCCCTCCCTGGCCGTGCTCGCCTGTACAGCCAGCTGCTCTGTTTTCCTCCTGGGGATCGGCGCGTCGGTCATTTCAGTGTTTTTTTTGTTTTTATTTTTTTTATTTTAGGATGGCGGCTCTTTGGATCAAGTGTTGAAAGAAGCCAAAAGAATTCCCGAGGAGATCTTGGGGAAAGTCAGTATAGCGGTGAGTTACAGTGGCTCTTTGAGCTACCAGAAGGATTTTGCTGGTCACGGTTTGGGATTAATGCCGGTGTTGAAGCTTTCTTTGTTTCCCCACACACGCTTTCCTAGTCTGGCCTGGGGTGAGAGGCGGTGGTGTGTGCAAGAGAGGACAGGGAGAGGATGTTCCCAACCGCTCTCCGTAGCTCTGACCCCTTGCGTTGCACCGTTTGGTGTTGACCTCCCCTGGAGGAGACTTGGGAGAAGCTTTCTCGGGCGGTAAACCCCAGATTTGTGGTTGACTTGGTGATGAATTGCAAACCCTGACCCATGTGGACGCTACGGGGTGGTTTTCCTCGTGGCGTCTGTGCAGCGTGTCCTGCCGAAGGGAGAGCCCTTCCCAGCTCCTGTCTCACCCTCGCTTTGGTTTCCCTCTAGGTTCTGAGAGGCTTGGCCTATCTGAGAGAGAAGCACCAAATCATGCACAGAGGTGAGAGGAAGAACCTAAAAATAACAGCCTGCAGTACCGGAGC